TTCGGGTATTCATAGTTTCAAGTGGAACTTCTGAGGATAAGCACTACAAATTGAAACCTACTCCAAAATAATAACACTGAAAAGTAGAAAAATAATTTATTTAATTAGGTCAATTCCTACCTATACCAGATTGAAATTAATTTCAGAATTTGGCCGGTCTGGCAAGCTTCTTAAGTACCTACACATTGTAAGCAACAAATACAAAGTAATTGAGAACTTCCTCCTTTTTTGAACTCACTTAAAAATAACACTATGCATAAAATTTTTGAAATTCATTCAAAACCGACATGTTGTGCGCAATAGCTGTCACAATACATGTCGATTTCGAATGAATTTCAAAAATCCAACGCATATGATGGTTGAAAATAAATAACCGCTATATTAATCCTGAATTTTAGTTTTTAATAAGTTTTTATTATTCTACTATCGTATATTTTGTGTAAAAAAATCTGATTTATAGATTCGTTGGACTTGTTTTCCACGCTTGTCATACGCTCGCCCTCCAGACATGTCAACTAATGAGCTGGAGGGCGGAGACAGTTACTTAATAACATCAAAGCTAAATTATTTTTTATTGGATTCGCTTTAAAGTCAAAGTTCAACTATACATAATTAAGATTACAAAGGTCTCATTTTATGATACTAGCGACCCGCCTGGGCTTCGCACAAGTGCTATGTATCATTACTATTCATCATTTCAGCCATAGGACGTCCACTGCTGAACATAGGCCTCCCCCAATGATTTCCACAAAGGCCGGTTGGTAACAGCCTGCATCCAGCGCCTTTCTGCTACCTTTATGAGTTCGTCGGTCCTGCACCTTGTGGGTGGACATCCTACGCTGCGGTTTCTGGTGTGGTCTCCATTCCAGAACCTTGCTGCCCCATCGGCCGTCTGTTCTGCGTACTATATGACATGGTCCATTGCCACTTCAGCTTGCTAATCTGTTGGGATATGTCAGCGACTTTTGTTCGTTTACGGTTCTCCTCAATTCTGATTCGATCCAGTAATCGATAAGTGCTATGTACTCGTATTATTATGTATAAGTAAACCCTCCTCTATCTATTGCTGAAGAATGCACTAAAATCCGTTGCGTACTCTAATACAAAGTTCTAAGCGCACAGATAGCAGGAGCGACTTTGTTTATACTACGTAAAGAAGATGCTTACCAACGTGTGGCTTTTTTAGTCCTTTCTAATTATGGAACATCTTGTAGAGCATCGCGTAGTAGGTGCAACTTGTACTTACACGTGAGACAGAGGCTTTGAGCTCGAAACATAATGAGGACATCGCTTTTATTATATTAAACAACGTTTTTGTCCATTAACAAGCTATGAATTAATGTGAAAAGCGCCTGAAAACACTTTGTCGCGGGCCGGAAACTATTTATTATTCATTCATTTCTGATTTGTGTTAAATTAATGGAACGATATGATTAATAATCTTTAAAGCCCGTGATAAGCAGGTAAGCTGTTTATTATTACAAAATCGTGACGCATTTTTGTATTTTATAATTCGTACATAGTGCGGACACTATTTATTGAGATTATGCTCAATTCGATCATGCTACTCAGGTAATAATAATTGTTAGGTAAAGCAATAATTTTGAAAAGAAATGAAATCTACAGCGATGCAATGCAACAGCAGGAGACATCATCTGACGTCATAGGTAAACCTTCTCGGTTTTCGGATATTATAATAGTAACAACTAATTACTTTACAAAATATGTAAATTCTTTGTTTTCGTGATCTAAGGGATCAATAATGTATCAAACATATTATTTGGCCTTATTTAGTAAATTCGCGGTATTATTGCTCTTAGCGATCGGTGCGGTGCGTTCGAGCTGAGCTGAGCGAGCGCCTAGAGCTATATTAATTAGCAAGCCCCGCATGTTTTGCTGCAAACACATAAAGCTGGCTAGAGAAGAAGACAAAATCGTTTCGTTTTCTATTGTACTTGTTTGTCGAGTCATAATGTGAAGCTAACTTGTAAATACCAGCTGTTATCGTATCGTGTTTAGCGCTCGTTGCGTTCGCGCTGCGCTGAGCGAGCCCGCGGCGAAAGGTAAATTGGTGTCACGTGCTTTGCTGCCAACACGTACAGCTGGGCAACAGATAAGACAAGCTGTATTTTACTGCGATACGTAATATTTGTAGTAATTTAGTAAATACGCGCTGTTATATGCTGTTTGACAACAATTAAGCTAGATCTTGGTAACCTCCTAATTTTGTTTTTATCTAGATACTTTGGGACACAGTGTTCGTAACCGATATTGAATTGCATTAACAGTTTTTTTAAGAATATCATGCCATAGAAAATACTCTTTAGAGAAAAAAAAATCTTTTCGAATTCTATTTACTCGTAGGAAAGCTTAGTAGGTATTACGGTTCCAATAGTACGTTTCTCATTGAAACTTATTTATATTTTTTCGTGGTTAATTGTAGAGATTTCTTTAATACAATAATTAATTTAATACATGGCAAAGTACAAGCTGAATAATTGTCAGAAAAATGAAATTGTTTTTGGAAGTTTTTTCCCTATATATTATTTGATATTTTTATGAAAAGAATGGCGATTGATTAACCATGATTCACAGAAAATATAGTAATTCAAAAAACCGAATCGTTGAAGCCAGACGCACCGCTTTTTTGCTCCGATGTCAAACAAAGGACACATTCTTATCAATTTAATGAGGATCTTATCGAGAAACCATTCGGTTCGAGTTTCTTTTCTATTTTAAAGGTTCTTTATGATCGATTTTCCTGTGCTGAGGTAAATAAACTTCATTGCACAATAACAAAAGATATTTTCAAGGCAACAAAGAGAAGTATCAACAACTTTAGAGGATTTTGGCATTGGCAGATTCGTCGTTTCAGCCAAATGACGTCCACTGCTAGACATGAATCCTGAAGGATTTCCAGAACGACCGGTCCTGCGCCGCCCGCTTCCAGATTATCAATCGATTTATTTGATCAGTTATATTGTTAATTAATTCGTTTCTTGAGGCAGTTAGTATTAACGTCAGTGGCAGGCCTTATGTGCCGATGATGTGCGAAACGCAGCGCGTTCTTGCCGTAAAGTATTCGCTGGGATATATTAGCGATAATATTCGGCGTTGCAGCGGCGCTGTGGGTTGGCTGGCGGCATTAATCATGGGATTAAACGGGACGATATTAGCTTGATTTTGCTGGGCGCTGTTTATAGAAAAATGATGTCTGAATTTTAATTTTAATCTAAAAAAATTTTTGGTTAAAATAATAATCCTAAAGCTGAAATATCGACATGGCCAGGCATACGCTCAAGGTTATTATTAGTGCTCGTATATAAGGTTAGATAGGCGTTAAATCATAAAGAGCTGTTTGGTAAACATAATATTATCTTCTTAGGCCCGATTCGACCAAACTTTTATCCGAGAATAGCTCTTGGTATACTTAACTTAACTGGCACATTGACAGTTTCATTAATCAGGAAATCAGGAAGTACCGATGTCAAAATGTCGAATAACTGACGATTTATTCAGAGATTAATATTTACTTTTGTTTGGTCGAATCCACACCTAGATTCCTGTGTTATTCAAGTTTTCATTGACTATTCAATCGGTTTGTTAAAGATTTGTATTCACACCTTCGAACCGCAGCGTCATAAACGCGACTTCCGCGAATCGCTTCGAGTTCATCTCGTTAGAAGTTGAAGTAAAACGTAGTAGTTAGTCGCGCACACAATCGCGCAAGTTCGCGCCCGCCGCGAATGCTTGCGGACAACTTTGCGACATGCCCGCAAAGTGGAGTACATCTGGTTCAGTTTGAAGAGAAACCCTTGAGGTTTGTGTTGTTTATTTTCAGATATCGTTTTCAAAATATGAAAGGAGATTACTAAGTTACAAGATGTTACCTACTTATTGCGATTTATTATCAAGTTTCTGATTCTCTTTGTAAATTAAATTGTTGTACTTTGGCTACGATTGTTATAAATAGAATTAATTTATTCAGTCGCTGCTGAGCTTGAACTTAATTTATTAGTATTGAAACAAGTCACTTGATTCAGATTTAGGTTTTTGTTACTGCTCATACTCGTAGATTTCGATAACATCTATAGTCTGGTCTGTGAGCACGTAGAATTTTGTCCAATGACCCCAAGCTACCCATCCTTATCGCTCACGCGTAATTATGTTGCTATCGCGCTCGCACGCTCACTGTGGGTGCCAGTCGCACAGTCGCGACAGCAATATAATTACGCGCGAGCGATAAGGATGGGTAGGTAGGGGTCATTGGACAAAATTCTACGTGCTCACGGACCGTGCTTTAGCTAGGATGGATCCAGAATTTTCTTCTGGGAGCCCCAGAGGACAACCCCCTCCCCCCTAGACAAATTAACTTCTTCAGCTTCACGGAGCGATATAACTTCAGAATGTTGCTTGTCTTGGAAGCAGTAGGTTATTGTTATCATCACGCGTCGATTCTCTTCGAGATACTATCGTCTCTTCCCTCATTGGTGCCTCTGAGCAGCCATCCTTGTCCCGGCCGCGCCGGCTGGGTGCCCACGGGCCGGTCGTCCGCTCCCGCCAGCTGTGCTAGCAGCATGCGCCGGCGCCGCGTCGAGCGGTTGACGGAGCTTCCATGGACCAGCAGGTACTCTTCGGCTTCACGGAGTGACTAAGTTACTTCGGAATCAAAACTGTCACTTAAATAACTTTGTCTAGGGAGGTAGTAGGTAATTTTTGTCATTACGCGTCGAATCTCTTAGAGATGCTGGCATCTCTCCCCTCATTGGTGCCTCTGAGTAGCCATCCTTGTCCGGGCCGCGCCGGCTGGGTGCCCACGGGCCGGTCGTCCGCTCCCGCCAGCTGGGCCAGCAGCATGCGCCGGCGCCGCGTCGAGCGGTTGACGGAGCTGCCATGAACCAGCAGGTACTCTTCGGCTTCACGGAGCGAACTAAGTAACTTCGGAATCAAAACTGTCACTTAAGTATTTTTGTCTAAGGAGGTATAGGTATTTTTTGTGATTACGCGTCGAATCTCTTAGAGATACTCGCATCTCTTCCCTCATTGGTGCCTCTGAGCAGCCAGCCTTGTCCGGGCCGCACCGGCTGGGTGCCCACGGGCCGGTCGTCCGCTCCCGCCAGCTGTGCCAGCAGCATGCGTCGGCGCCGCACGGAGCGGTTGACGGAGCTGCCGTGGACGAGCAGGTACTCTTCGGCTTCACGGAGCGAACTAAGTAACATCGGAATCAAAACTGTCACATTAACTTTGTCTAGGGAGGGAGTAGGTAATTTTTGTAGTCATTACGCNCAGCTGTGCCAGCAGCATGCGCCGGCGCCGCGCGGAGCAGTTGACGGAGCTGCCGTGGACGAGCAGGTACGAAAAGATGAGGACGTCACCGCGCTCAGCGATGACGGGGGTCGCGCCGGAGAGAGGGAATTTGGCCTAGGGAAAAGAAATGTTTTTTTGTTTAAGTGAGGTGTTTTTGTGTCTCTCTCTAAGAAGCGATCGTTATATAGCCGCACATTTCCATCATGTTTGTGGCAATTCAGACTTTGGAAGCCACGTTAAAAGTTGGCCTTTGAAAATGTCATTTTGTTACTGTTACTGTACAGTGTACCTACCATGAGTTTACTATAAGTGTGCTCGCTAGCGAAAACGTCAAAAATCTCTATGGAGATTTTGTTTCTTGAAAGTAGCCGCTAGGGGCGCTGCACAATATGTCATACAATTAATATCATTTTTTTACGCAGTCGCTAGCGAGCACACGTAACGTAAACTCATGGTAAGCACACAGATAACTCATGGCTATTTTGCTTTTGCAGGCATCATCTTGGGCTAAGTTTGTGCTAGCCAAGGTATACGAATAAGTCCGTTGTCCGTTCGCTGCTTTCGCAGGCTGCTACCAACGAATGGTGTCAATAAATACCTGATCCACATAGTGGAAGTTCCCTTCTTTGATCCCGTGGTCCTCCAGGGGCCCGAGCTTGTGTGAGCCGGGGTACACGAACAAGCCTCCGTTGTCCGGGTCCGCTGCCTCTAGGTGGAGGAAGGCTGCTACCAACGAATGGTGCTCGTGGGGGAAGTACGGGTAGTCCTGAAAACAACGTTCTTATGTTTAGATTTAAGATTTTTCTTTCTAACTTATAAGTAAATTTTTAGCATTTTAATAATTCTTTTTTTCTTACATTTCAGCTGAAATTATTTCACAAAAATATTATACCCATTTCAACATAATATTTAGTTTTTATTTAATTAACTGTTGTTAGGTTCTGTTGTACAATGATAATTTTGATAGACTTATATTGAGACAGTGTTTGCTTATCGTAGCAGTGAAAGTCTGAGCTCATTTTATTGTCAAGCTACGCAAAATTTTAAGTTTCTTTAGAGCCCCTGTCTGTTTGTTTCATAAAATATTCAGATTTAAAAAATACATTTTTATTACTTGGTGCATGGGATAAGCGGCTCCCGTCTCCGGGGGCTTCAGATGGGCTTTGGTGTGGTGCAGCACGATGTTCTCAGTCTCCATTATGTCTTCTAATGCATCCAGGAGATCGTTGTTGAATAGGAACAGATTGAATGCTGCTGAATGATACTGCAGGTTGTGAATACCTTTCACCTGAAAACAGTAGCATATGGCATGATAAAATCTTGTAAATGACGTTCAGATAGTTTCGTTTCAGACAAATGACGTCCACTGCTGGACAAAGGGCTCCCCCAAGGTTTTCCATAATGAATGGTCCTGCGCTGCCCGCATCCAGGCTCTTCCCGCGACCTTTACCAGATCTTCGGTCCACCTAGTAGGAGGCCTGCCCACGCTACGTCTTCCAGCCCGTGGTCGCCACTCGAGAACTTTCCGAGTTCAGATATATGTGTATGTATGTTAGTTCTTCCGGTCTGGTTTCAATAATTCACTGGGTTTGTTTTGTGTGTATGCGAATACCTGCAAATAGCTAAGCAAGAATATTACTTCGTACCTACTCTTTGTATTGTTGCAGCTGGTTGGTTTTACGAATAAAAAAATTTGGTATGTGTTACTTTACACAAATCTTCATTAATTAATTCTTATTGTAATTATTGCTTGATCCAATATGAATGTCGTCACAACTCATACGTTGCTCTAAACCACCAAAACATGAAATAATACCAACCGTAAAGGCGCTGTCATTCTTCCTATCGTTCTCATCGCTGCCTACCCAGGAGGCTTCCATCTTCTCCTGGTTCTTCCTCTCGAACAGCTTGTCATATTCTTCACTTATAAGAGTCAGGTCCTTCTCATTGATCAAATTCTTCAGCACAATGTACCCGTTGTCTTTGTAAAACTGTTTTTGTTCTGACATCAAACGACCCATAGTTAGTGAATGAAAAAAAAAAGTATCACTTTTTACTGTTGAGAGAAAAACAACAAAATAAATCTGGGTTGTTTCAATGTTCACAATATCACTCTATTAAACTACACACTGTAATAAGACAGAAACAAGTAATAAACTAGCTCTAATGTTGTTATTAATATGACTTTATTTATATTTCAATATCGATAATGATAAGAGATTTTAAAAACATACATGTCGCGTAATCACGGTAAATTATGTAATTATATTTTATTGTCAACTTACTTAATTTATATTCATCATTATTATCTACGAGATGTGCGTAATCATGAAAATATAAAAAAATTAAACGCGAAGAACCTCAAACTTTTCATAATAGCTACGTTATTTGAGTTGATGTAGGTACTACTTATTATTTTATGTTAGGTAAAACATACAAAAAGTGTGAAACAAACTTTACCCAACTCTACAAAACTATAATATCCTCATGAAAAATGACCATTCCCCTTTACAAAGTAACACTTGGTAAGACAATGCATGGCTGCGCATATTCTGCTGCCCGCAAGACGTACTCGCGCGCCGGACTACATTGCGGCCATAAATCCACGGCGAATTCAAAGTTGGCGGTAATAAATCACGCCGGGCGTCACGAGTAGGTCCGAATGGAAAAATACTCCGTTTGAAAGAATAGCTAGTGGGTAATGATGGCTGCCTGGTTTACCTAACTAAAGGTTTGTGGACTATAGCACTGGTTGCGGGTTCGGGTCTCGCATGGGTAAATGTCTATGTGATGAAAAAGAGTATCCCGGAGTCATAGACGTTAAAATATGTAACGATAAAAGATTAATAAGACTATTATTAAAAGAAAGATAATTATTTAAAAAAGCATAGGTATGTTTTTTTAACATAGAATTATGTAGGTCGCTCGCAACGTCGTTTGCATGAAATTCAAAATCTGAAGTCTCACCTAAATGTAAAAATATCCCATTTATTACAACTAGTAAAATGTGTTGACTATGTTAATAACTTTTTAATACTTAACTTTTCTTTCTTTGTGTTTTATAATAGCTTACCCAAAAATCGTGATCAGTTTTGCCACAAGCTCATTTTAAAACTAATAAGGGAGAACCTGAAGTGTAGCAGATAAGAAAGGCTCAATTTAAAGAAAATTTTGCCGATCTATTTTTTAAATTGGTCGATTTTAAAGAAAAGAAAGAAAATCCATTAGGGCGCTTCTGCCCTAGCAAATATTAAATATTCCATTGCCAATCATATGTATGGTGGTAGCGAGCCAACGTTCCATAGTAACAATATAAGGGAATTATTAAAACATTTTCATAGGTTTTAATCAAAATAATTTTGTGTGAACAATTTCCGCAGTAAAACAAATAATTGCCGGGTACATAAGCCAGTAATACAGTGGAAATTAATCCCACCGCAATCCATGCTATTAATTACCTTCTTAATTACATTTAACAAAATTGTGTTGCTGTGTTTGGGGGTAGAATCAAAACTCCAATAGCTGTTAATGTTATTGGAAGTGTATGAAATCTAGCAATGATATACATAAGTACATACGAGTAAGAGGGAATGAGTGAAAAAAGTTTATCGTTATGTAATAAATAATACATTATTTCCTAAGCTGTGATTCAGGTAACATTTTATGTTAAAAAATAAACGTTTTATAGCTTTTATAATCTTTATCGTGATTCAAGGTCAAATGCCAAGTGATAACATAGTTAATTGTAACATATTTTGATTGCTATTTCTACTTCATTTACTATGTTTGGTATAAATTAAACATAATACCCAATACAGTTACCAAAATATGACACGCGGTTAAACTCCAATTATCCCAGAAGCATATTGCAGATGCTCAGCTGATTGCTATTGAACGCGGAAACAATACGAAATGAACAGTATCTAGACAAAATTTAACTAGACACCTAGCACAGCCGGCGGCCAGCTGTGGATCACTGCCACAGCTCGGCTAAGACAGCCAGCTTCTGGTCTTGCCTGTAGAGTCGGTATCAGCACATCAGTCTCAGTAGCTGGCACTTGAGATCAAGAGGCTGATAAAAATCTTATTAAAAAGAGAGCAGTCGCCTGGCAAGAGAAACGGCGTTTAAATTTTTGATTAGAGTAATTTAACATTTACTGTGTAAACACTGTATGATGTACTTTTTCTATTGCGAAACTAAAGCTAAAACCATGAAACTCGCTTTCGTCTGATTTCCCCTGAGCTGGACCGATGGAAAATGTTACATTTGTGACAGAATTGATTTCCCTGGGTAACTCGCAAATGATTTAAATATAAATCAAAGAAATAAATAAATCTTCCATTTTGTTCATGTACCGAGCGTGAACACGTTGTCATGGCTGCTTTCTTTTGGCGGTGACTGTGTTGCCGGTAGATTTGCCTTTGTGTCGAGGATGCATTTCATGGAAGATGCACCCCCTTGAATCGCACAGCCCCCTCTAGCACTAACACGAAATGTTTTAGACTGTACGACTCGACTGGAAATCAAACCCTCGACTACGTTTCAATTCGAGTCGAGGGTTTGATTTCCAGTATAGCTAGCACTAAAATTAAGAAGGATGGATGAGGTGAGTTATTGTTCGGTAACAAACCTCCTCTTGTTTGTAAAAGTTTCGTTAAAATATTAAAATTTCATGTTCTCACTACGTTCAGGATTTCATGTGTATGCTGTTTGTTTACATCCCTAAGTAAGAAGATTACAATAGGCTCGTTAATATTTGGATTTTGCGCAAACGCAGCTCGCTCTACGGTCTGATACGAGTGTAGGTCCTACTTTAAAAGGTAAAATCGTTTGGCAAATCTTTTACTTGGATATTTTACACTCGGTAACAAAACAAAGCTGAGTTTTTTCATAGACTTTACTGAATCGTATAGTGTAAAAGATATTTGGAGGGCACTCCGTATACTTCAGCACTCACGAGTAAGATTTCCCGACACGTATGCAGCAACGTTTCAAACGTCTCGCCGACCGGCGACCGGATTGATTAGGATTCCGTCTCTTAAATGGACTTCTAGAGAAGGCAACATTGTAACTACCGCTGTTGTAAATACTCGTAATACATGAAAGTGACGTTGATAAAATTCACAATTCCTTCGTTTGTTTCAACAAAATAACGTCCACTGGACAAAGGTCCACCCCAAGGATTTCTAAAACGACCGGTCCTGCGATGCCCGCATCCAGGCACTTATCGCGACCTTCATTAGATCGTCGGTCCACCTAGTGGGACTGCCCACACTACGTCTTCCGGCCCGTTGGACATTGAAATTCACAAAATGATATTGAAAATAATATCGTGTTCATTGGATTTCATAGGATTTTTACCGGAAAATTGACGATTTTCAATATGATTCTTTGTATCAATAAAGAGATCTCGTTTATCCATTTTAATATTCACTTATAAATGAATCCGTGATGCGAATTCAATGCCTCATTTCGAACATAATAAATATCATGAACCTCGGTGATGTTGGTTAAATCAAACAGATTTCAGAATGATTTAATCAAACCTTGAAAATTTTTAATTAAATAAATGGCATTATATCTCATGAGCAGAGGTTATTTATGTAAGATGTGATTCCTAATTCTGTCTGACTAAACCACACAAGTAAAAAAATAAATAATTGTTCTTAGTTTTAGCATGGAGAAAATTATCTTGAAATTCTTTGACCATCTGTTTTAATGTAAGCGTTCCGAGTTTCTTTATGCGGTCTCATACTGGTCTTACCTACTTAAACAAGCACTAACAATATTTTAAATTTTAATTAAGTAATGTATTCACGGGATGCTTTTATGCGAAGTTATGAGTGTGCTCATAATTTTTAAAAGATAACAAAGCAATTATTTCGTCGCCGGTGAAAAATAACGCATAAGTACTGCACTCGCCGCCATGCCCGTTTTAATTTACGACACTAAAAATATTTTAAACAAAGAAACTCCTCTGCGGGTTTTATGCACAGTTCGTATCAGAACGGCCAGCTTGAAAAAATAGGTGAATGAACTTACAATGGTTCATTGTCTGGTACGTGGCTCAACTGATCTACCAGTCTTAAAAATATTTTCGTAAGTAGCAATCAGAAGTAGGTGCAAGAAGAGTTTTAAAAAAGAAAGATATATTTGATGATAAATAAATCATTCATCTTATGCCATGGACTGCCATTCATGCTATATTAGACACGGTTGCTCCAACAAAAATTGCTACAAAATACATAATTCCATCCAACTTCAGTAAATCATTAAATAAATAAAAAAATTATTTTTCGCTATTCATTATATTAAAACCTTCTTTAAGTTTAAATTACATCATTTGATGCCCTAGCTATAGGTACTAGGTAACATCTTTTAATTTTTATGTGGTGGCTGATTTATATGGACTACGCTATATGTCTGCAGATGGGGATTAACTTGCATGAGGAATGAAGTTAAAAATTATTTGAACTCAAAAAGAGAAATTAAAAGCTTTCATTAAATTTTTTTTTAGTATTTTTACGGGTAGGTATCCTCAATACCAAGTGATGAAGACGACTGGTGACCAAATATTGGGAATTTTAGAAATAAAAGAAAAAAATAAATAGTTTTAAAAACTTATCATTTATTTAATAATAGTATTTTGCTTGCTTTGAGGAAATTCACAACATTGTGGCTGCAAAATCCCTCAGGCGATATTGTTTAAACTTAAATCAAATTCGGTTCGTATTTCAGAGAACATTTCAAATTTTAATTAAGCTCTTTTAGACTTACGACCTACATACATATACGTATAATAATACTTATTATTTATTTTCAACCGACTTCAAAAAAGGAGGAGGTTCTCAATTCGACCCGTATGTTTTTTTTTTTCTTCTATGTTTGTTACGCGATAACTCCGCCAATTATGAACCGATTTGAACAAATCTTTTTTCGACGTATAGGTAATACCTCAAGGGTGGTCCCATTTAAATTTAATAATAAAAAAAACAACCCCCAAGGGTGGAAAATTGGGGATGAACTTTTTTATACGCAATATCTCCAAAAAACCTACACTAAAACGTCGAAAAATAATTACTAATTACCTACTTATTTATTAGGACGAATTATTAA